AGGGGCTGGGTCTGATACATCTTTGTACTGCCACAGAGTCAAGAACAGGCTTTGCAGAGGGTAGGAGCTCAAAAACTGCTTTTAAATCAAAGAATGCATTCACTTGCTTGGGTTTTCTAACTATAGTGGGTCAGCTTGTGCTGTACCAAGGGAAGTGATAAGAAGCTGATGGACCTCTGCTCAGAGGTTCCTACACTAATATCATCTTGGATGTGCTTAACACTGTTGCAAGAAGGGACAGTAGAATGACACTAAATAAGAAGTCAGAAAAGTGGAGAGTTTGTCTAGGCTCTCTCATTAATTACTTATTTAATCTAGGGCAAGATACTTAAACTCTATCTCAGTTTCTTCATCTGTGAAATGGGGTATAATAATGACTGGCTTGGCTATTTCCCATGATTGCTTTGAGAATCACATGAGATAGTATACTTAAAAGTGTTCTGGAAAGGCAAAAATGCTGCACAAATGCAAGGTATTTTTTGCAAAGAAATCATACTTTTAATTCCTGCTTCCACAAACACATACCCTGTGTTCCTGGGTTATGTGGTGAGATGTAACTTAACCTAAGCTTGAAAGGTATCCTAGAATCTCTTCTTCAAAATCTGTAGTGTTTAACTGATCTAGTCTAGGATTGTCCAAAACAACACTTACAATTTCTGTCAATTTTACATCCCCAATTCACGTAGATATCTATGCCCCTCATTCAGCATTTATTTAAAACAAATTACTGAATGCTTATGTGCCCTACTGTGCTAGGAAATGGGACAAAATAGACAAATATCACAGGATCTCTACCCTTGTGGGTTTTATAGCTTATTGGATCTGATAGAACAGACATGAGAAAAAATAAATGCCTAATCCTGTATTTGTTTTGGAAGGTAATTTTACACATGAGTTTTAATTAGGAAAGACACATATGTATATTTTTAGTTTTGACTAAAATGAAAGCTGGCAGTGGCCCTTATTCATGTTTTTCTACTGCAAATTAAAATCTATGGTTGATAGATTTTAATTTGGCCCTGGAGACTGAGGTTTTTTCCTGATGATAGTTTGTGGGATCCAGTTTTTCTTTTTATCAGTGAAGCTACAGAACTGTAAGGAAGAGCAATAGCTATGATTAGTTACAGGATCACCAGAATGTTTCCTTGCCAATTTCTCTGATAAAGTGGCATCTGCTTTGACTAGGAGCACTGTCCTTGAGGTAGACCACTCCCAAATCCAGTTGAATGATTACACCGCTCATGGCATTGGGGGCTAACATCTCCAAGCAGATTCTGGCATTTCATGTCCTCAGCTGTTATTCAAGTTTTGAGACCCCACCACATGACTCCATGACTCCTGACAGGGATTAGGAAAATAGTCACCGAAATGCACACAGTAGAATTCAGGCTTAGCTTTGGGGAGAGGCCAGTAGTAGAAAGCATACTTCAGTGCAGTTCCATCTGGTTAATCAGTCAAGCTCCTACAGGAGTCAACAGCCCTTCTGCTGCACCTGAACAGTTTTTCCCCTTCCAGATACACTGATCTCTTCCCTACTTATATACTCTACCGAATTTCCTTTTCCTTCTCCTATATTTCCTTTATCTGGGAATAGCCCATTATACCTCAAGATACTGAGGTCATTGCTGATCCCTTGGTCTATTTTTCCTCTTTCATCAAAGCAGTTACTGGTCTTAGCAGCCAATGCCCATCTTTTCAGCATCCCTACAGCCCCTGCCTAAGTTCTTATCTTCCCACTTTAGGGAACAGGCTCAGATTTCTGTTGTTTACCTACCTCTATATTTGTTCCCTATGTCTGGAACAGCCTTAGGACTCTCAACATGAGAAATATTCTCTTATTCTTTACCTGATTAAGTTAATCTTTTGGTCCTCCAATTCTGAGTCAAGCTGTTGAGGTCTTCCTGGAAGCCTTCCCTGACCTCTTTTAGGCTGGGACAGGACTCACAGTCCCTCAGCTATGAATCCATAACATTCTACTTGTCAGACTATTGGTCATTTGTATGTCTTTCTTTATCCCTCAGCTACTCACAGGATCTGGCCAATTGTAAATATTCATCAAAATGCTACTTGATGGGTTGGACTGACTTGTTCAGGTCTCTCACTCTTTTCCAGGTTCAATTCTCCCCTTGATTTTCAACACCCTCCCACCATTTTTTTTTTTTTACTAATTTATATAAATAGCTTCCTTCAAAACATGTCTTTTAAAATACCTCTTTGGCCATAGCCTTCTACTTTTCATTCATAACATATATTCTTTATTCGTCTTGTCCTTATGCAATAAGTTTAATATTATAACAAATCCAACAATAGGTATGTGAAATAATTGCTTTCCTTAAAGGAGTCGCTTTGAGAAATTGCACACCTATTTTAATAATGTTGTCATAGCCACAGTCATTTCTGGATCTGCTCTTTAGGGATGATTACCTTTGCATTCTTCTGAATGTATTTAGTAGTTACAAATTAATTTTTGCAGCCGGTTTTTAAAATTTGTATATAGTCAAGTCACTATGAACTATATTTAATGAGTAAAGAGAATGATCTAGCTGTTAACTGTATGGGTCAACAACTAAAAGTAATGTTATTATCTTTCGTTGAACATATTTGCACAAGGGAAATTCCAAAACTATTTTGACTAATTATGTTATTTTTGAAAAGAGTTTCTAACACTGTAGGTGACTACTTTCAATAGTAATACTTGCTGATGTATTATCAAGTGCTTATTAAACCCAGTTTGGATTTCAAAGGCCTATGATTGCACTGACTTGCACTTTTATAGCATTGTTTTACATTCTAGAACAATCAACATCTATTATGTGATACACACTGGCAATAAATAAGGCACAGTCCTTGCCCATAAGGACCTCTAATATAGATAAGAAGATAGAAATACCAATAGTCCTGTGTGAAAAATAGATATTGGCATAAAATAAAGAAGGAGTACAGTGGAGGGGCAGTCTGAGAGGGGTAGAAATTCATTACAGAATTGGCAAAGCCTTATTAGGACTGAAGGATGGATGAAGCTCACCAAGAGGAGGAGGGAAGGAAATGACAAGAGTTATTCCATGCCAAGGGAACAGAAGGTACAGAGACTGAAAGAAGAAGATATGTTTGGGGGACTCTCAAGTCGTTCAAGCCTGTTATTGTTATTGTGTAAAGTTCACAAGGCGGGCAGAGAGGACGAAAGTTGGGGCCCAAAGAAGTAGAGGCCTTGTATTTGCATTTCTAGAAGTTTGTACTTGATCCTGTTGGAGCCAGGGACAGGCTCTGTGGGCAGGATTTCCCTGCTCCACAGGATAATAAACTCCCACTACCAATTAGTGACACAGATTTGAGCCTCCTCATTCCCTCCTCCTCTCTTTCCCCCTCAAGATTGGCTCTGATTCACCTCTTCCTTTCCATTCCGATGCTTCCCTCATTAGTTTAGGCCTTCATCACCCCATGCCTGGACTGTTTCACAAACTCCTGACTGGCCCTTGGACTCCAGTTCACCTTTTGCTCCCAACAATCAATTTTGCACAGGATTATCAGAGCAACTCCCCTTTCCATCAAGTCTCACTCCTGTTCACAAACCTTCAGTGGTTTTCTATGACCTGAGATAGAAATGCCTCTTTCCTTTTCAGCTTGTCATTCAATGTCTTGCATAGTCTGGTCCCAACCCCTTTAAGCTTCCTTGCTTTCTGTCACTACTAATAGTGCCAGAATCATCTACTTATTCCCTTATCTGGACCTTCATTTTTTTTTATTAAGGTATCATGGATATACACTCTTATGAACGTTTCACAAGAAAAACAATGTAGTTATTATATACACCCTTACTATCGAGTCCCCCCTATACCCCATTGCAGTCACTGTCCATCAGTGTAGTAAGATGCCACAGTGTACTTATTTGTCTTCTCTGAGCCACACTGTCTTCCCCGTGACTCCACACACACCGTGTGCACCAATCATGAAACCCCTCAATCCCCTTCTCCCTCCCTCCCCTTTGGTAACCACTAGTCCCTTCTTGGAGTCTCTGAGTCTGCTACTATTTTGTTCCTTCAGTTTTGCTTCATTGTTATACTCCACAAATGTGGGAAATCATTTGGTATATGTCTTTCTCTGCCTGACTTCACTGAGCATAATACCCTCTAACTCCATCCATGTTATTGCAAATGGTAGGATTTGTTTCTTTCTTATGGCTGAATAGTATTCCATTGTGCATATGTACCACCTCTTCTTTATCCATTCATCTACTGATGGACACTTAGGTTGCTTCCACATCTTGGCTATTGTAAATAGTGCTGTGATAACAGGGGTGCCTAGGTCTTTGGACCTTCATTTTTATGGTGGCTCTGTTTCAGAATGCTACACGCACAAAACTTTTTGTTTGCTTGTTTATTTTAGCTTTTTTTTTCCTTTTTTTATACCTAGCAAGCCCCCTTGTACCCATGCCTGGTCACATCCCCTGCCCTAATGCCCTGGAAATAACCACTATTCTGGTTATATTCTATTACTATATGCTGTGTGGTATGCATCCATATGTAATATATAGTATTGTTTTGAAAAAATTTAATTGTATATAAATGATATACTCCTTTTGCAATTAGTTTTTTACTGTTATTTTATTTTTAATATTTATCCCTACTGACATATATCAATATGGTCTTTTCAAATTCTGTATTGTATTTCATTCTATAAATATACCATACATTATTTATCCATTCCTCTATGGGTGGCCATTTAGGTTGTTTCCAAATTTTGCCTACTACAGTGTTACAATGAATATTCTTAGCTGGTCTCCTGCTTCTACACAAATATGACTAAGCTTTTGAGATCCGGCTGTCAGCCCAGCTCCCAGTGAAAGACTTGCCTGAATCCCACAGCCTGTAAGCAAAGTCTCAGTCCTCCTAAGTAGCTTGTGCACCACGTATCTTTTGGTATCATTCCATTGTGCCCGGCACGCTGTTAGCAAAGTGAGGCACTGAGGAAATATTTGCTAAACTAATGAATGAATGAATGATGCAGCACAGCTCAACTGTTGGTTCTGTTCATTTAAATGGGCCTTGGCACCTTAGTCCATATGTCCTTTGACGGCACTGGTTTTCCTCTACCGTATTCGTCTAGCAAGCCCGGGAGTGTGTGGATGAGTGGGTACGTGGTGGCGATACCTGTCTCACTGGATGGAGTGTGTCTCTCCAGAAGTTCACGGATTCAGCAACGCTAGGGTTGAAGTTAAGAGTCTCACCACCCACCTCCTCCCGCAGAGGCCGGGCCCAGATTGGCACTCCAGCACCTAGTGAGTTAAGGCGCGTCGGGAACCGACGCGGGTTCGGGTAGGCTGGAGGGGTGTCGCAGGACTGTAGTAGATCCCTCCGCGGCAGCGAGGGCCGGCGCTTCTTCCTGCGGGAAACCCCTGGGTGCCGAAGGCGGCGGGGCCTGGCCGCGGCGACAGGAGGGCGGGGTTAGCGGCGGGAGGAGGCGGCCGAGGCGGAAGGACACACGAGGCTGCTTAGCCGCACGCTTAAGAAAGTTTCAGCAAACTTCGGGCGGCGGCTGAGGCGGCGGCTCAGGAGCGGCGGACTTAGGGTGTGGGGAGTGGAGGCATTTGAGCCTGAATTTTGGGGCGCTGCGTGAGGCCGTGAGCCTCAGAAGCGGGAGGTGCGGTGGTGAAAGTGGGGGCTCCTTGGTCGGGACCCCTCCCCATGTGGATCTGCCTGGGCCGCGGCGGAGGAGGCGACCGAGAAGATGCCCGCTCTGAGCCCCGCTCCGCTGTGGGTGCTGCTGGCGCTCTGGCTGTGCTGCGCGGTCCCCGCTCGTGGTGAGTATCGGGCCGAGGGGTGCTGTCCCGTGCGCCCGGGCCCGCGCACCGTCGTCCCTGCCCCGGCCTGGCCCGGCCCGGCCGGCCGCCTGGGGCGACCGTTCCCCTGCATCTGCCCTTCTCCCTGCGAGAAGGCCGGGCTCTGCCCGAGTGAGGCCACTTGGTTCCCCAAAGTTTGGACATCGCCAGGGCCCTCTCCCTGGCCGCGCCCCGCGCCGTCTCTTGTTCCCCTCGGCCCGTAGCCTCACACATGCCTTCTCGGCCGGAGGGAGGCCGGGCAGCTAGTCACAGAAACTTGCTTTCGTGAGCACTTGAGTTCGGGGAGGTGGTCTCTTTTGCGGTTTTGGTCCCGCGATTCCTTGGGTCGAGGGAGAGCAGAGGGCGCGCTGCCCGAGACTACCCATCGCCGGCCGCGGACCGCAGATGGGCTGAGCAAAGGAATGCCAGATTCTGGCGTGGAGTGGGCGGGGGCAGGGCCTCCGAGCCCAACGGCTTGCACCTTCACAGCCAGACTTCGCTTTGCCAAGGGGAGGCGCACAGGCCGGCGTATGGGTTTGGTTTGGAGGGGAACAGGGGTTTGTGGTGCGCCTGAGTTCTGACACTCCGAATCCATCCATGGTTGCGGTGAATATGGTGTGTTTTGCTCGAGTCACTTTGAAAGGTGGAGGCAGGAGCAGTAGGGAAACTGGTGTGGCTGCATGGTGAGCCACATGACTTAAAACTCTTAACTGCTGTTATTTTTTCTGAGGCGCGGAGCTACGGAGCTTTTTCAGAGTCTGTGTCCAGCCCCAGGAATGTGGTGTGACGATCACCAACTCCTCCAACCAGGCAGCAGCCTTTGCTGCTCCTTTGGCACGTCTGGGGGTGGGGCAGGTGCGGTTGAAGAAAAGTTGGTACGTTAATTCAAAGTGCTTTCTTAGAAAGCCTCGTTATGGTTGAGTATTTGCAAAAGTCTTTCTGAACACGGCTGGACCAAAGAAAGGAAAACAAATCACAACTTACCTATCCCATCCACACTCCTAGATTCCAGATTTGTTAAGTCTGTTTAGTGGAAAGAGCTTGGGCTTTGGAGGCCTGCTCTGTAATCCTGGGTTCAAATCCAGCTCTGCTATACGAACACACCAATAAAATGGGAGTGAAATTACCCTGCTAATAGGATTAATTAAGAGAGGTATATTAAACCCATGGCAGTCAAAAGGCATTCAGAAAGTCCTTTCAGGGCAGGGCTGTGTTTTATTTTTTCTGAACTCTGCTTCAGTGCGAGGGTGGATTGTGCATGCCTGTTGAACTGAAAGGGATAATAGCCTAATCTCAAGGAAGATTTTTACCTTTACCAAAAACCAAAAACAAGTACACGAGCTATGTCTCTACAAAGAAAAGGTTAAGAAGATGATGACCTTCGGAAATGTTTCCTCTTTGTTGTTCACAGGCAGTTGACATGCCGATCTCAGATGTTTAAAAGAGAACAGTACTGGGTTGTTCTGCACCAGACTGATTCTTCTTGGAGGGCTCAAACTCCATACTACACCTTTGGGTCCCTGAGAATTTCAAAAGTGAACCAGGAGGCTGTGTGGTGATGAACCCAAACTGTTGTTTCAAAAGCCTTTAACAAAACACATGTGATAGTATTTTTTGCCTTTCCTTTCTCTTTGAGTGAAAGCTTTAGGTATAATTGTAGACTTCTGATAGAGAATGTAAACAATGGGCTGGTCTGAGGGTTCCAATACTTGATCACCATTAACTTGGTTTAGTAAATAATTTAATCTTCATTATCTGTAGTCTCTTCACCTATGAAATAGAATTAAAGAACTAACCTACTTTAGAGAGTTGGAAGAAATAATAAGTATGATTGCAAAATTAAGTGTTAAGTAAGACTGATGTCAGAAATAGGATTACTCTGACACTCAAGGCTGCTCTTACTCTAGGACCCTAGTACTCAGAATGATATCTTTTATACTTCTGCACTAATGAGGTATTGCTATTATTAGCTAGTGAACAAGTTGAGTGTTAGGTCAAAGGACAAAATATTTAGATATTTTGATTTTTAGACAGGTGTTCTTCAGATGCTAATTTACTGTAATAGAAGAGATTTAAAAACCTGTTTCCTGGTACAAATCTTAAATATTTTCAGAGTCGAGCAATGAAGGCTTCTTGGATCTTCTCAATCCACTGTCATTGTGTTTTGCCAAAGTGCCAATTATAAGACACTCTTCCAAACTTAGTGTTCCTGTATTTGGCTTGTGGCCAACTGTTAATTTAAACATCATTGAGTTCCTAAGACAAGGAGCTGTCAACCCATCTGTCTAATTGTCTAAACGGCTATCCAAGACCACCCCTTGCTCCTTGTTTTCTTTTGCTTTGCAATGGGAAGTGATTCCCTGGTTTTGCTGCCCACTAGATAATTTCTCAGCCAAGTTCTTTTCTTGCTTAAAAAAAAAATCACAGTGATTGCTTTTTCTTTCATATGGAGATGAAATTTATCCTAAAACTATTTGCCTTTTCTCTTTCTTCTTGTTCTTTTTTTGGGGGCAGGGGGGTGGAGGAGGAAGGAGAGTGATTATTCTAGTTTTCCTTTTCTTTTTCCTGATGTTTTGAGTTTTAAAAATATTAACCCACATCTCCTTGACATCCCTCTGTACCATCCCCATTCCACTGTCTTTTCTGTAGGCTTCTTATGACATAGAGGAGTCACTTTTCCTTCATCTGAATTGTAGTTGCTGACATCAGGACTTTTAGAAAATGTTTAAATTCAGTGGGATATGCTTGGATGCTTCAGAGAAGTCTTACAATACATTTTAAAAATATCATACCCACAGAAATTCTGTTTTGCCCACAAAATTTGCATTGATCTAGTTCCCACTCTCTGATGCCAGTCCTAGTGTCCTCCTCCTTCCCTGTCCACTGTGATAGAACAAAACTCCAGGTCCTGGCTGTGCCAGGATCAGCTGGGGTAATTCTTGGGCTCAACATTCAGAGATTCTGATTTATTAGTTTGGAGAATCTGTCCTTTTCAAGGCTTACAGGTGATTCTGATATAGCAGCTTGGTTGGAACCCACTGATAGTTCATTATTCTGGTGTGTATATGGGGTCTTTCCTTCTTCATATTAACAGCTTACAGTCTTATTCATTCCAGTGTTTAATCCACTGACTGTCAAAGATTTTTAAAACTGCTAACATAAAAGCTGTAGAGTATATCATTTCTTTTTGTTTATCTGGGCACAGTGGGTCCCCATTGTCTCTTTAGAAGGGCTTCATATATTTGAATGCACCCCTTTTCTTCTATGATACTTCTTTTTCCTCAAACTTCATTCATATATATCATCTCTTTTATCTAAACTTTTATCTAAACTCTAATGGTTTTAGAGTAAAAAGTCCCAAGCCATGATTTGGATGAAGATAGGATAAAGGATTTTACATGATCCTTTTATTGTGTTTACACTCTTTATTTAGGTGCCTTTCCTTGACATCTCTATCTGGGTGCCACAACGAACCTTTCATTTTCCTCCCACTCTTTCCTCCTTCTCCTTCTCCTCTCTTCTTTCCTTTCTCTGCAAATGACCTGAAACCAAAAGGTTTTCTTTTCCTAGTGTCCTCTTCTTTCTTTATGGGTCTACCATATTTATAATATTTTGTTTGGAAACATCACTGGACTAGGAGTCAGAAGACCAGAATCTTCTCCAGGACTGTTTTTAATTAGTCTTGTGACCTTGCGGGAGGGACACTGTTTGGTCCTGTTTGCTCAGGTACTTTGTCCCTAGTCATGGAGCCAATCAGAGTTGAGACTAGAAAGAACTCTTTTCTGGTCCTCAGTCCAATGCATCATCCACTGTCCACCCCAATTCCATCTCTTTTACAAATAAGCTCAGATACACAAAAACACTGTGAACAACCTCAAGTGCTAGTGTAAATGTGTGCTTCTCATGTCTTTTCATTTATGTGTTTATTCTAATGCTCCCACCCCAACCCTTGCACCTGGCCATGGTGTCTCATAGGTGCATGCTTGCTCAAGTCAACAGTACTTTTAGTCATTTTCTTATTCTGGACTGTGGTACTCCAAGAAAGTTTAAAAAATAGTATTTGGGGAAATACTAAGGTGATTACAGGTGATTCTGATATAGAAAATATCAGAAAACCAAATTTTGGGAAAAAACAAATTTTCCCCTTCGCCAGATGTTTAGTTAAACTTGCCATTTTGAATTTCTGTGTGTGTGTGTGTGTGTATGGTTTCTTTGTCTCTTTTTTTCTGATCACTTCTGCAATTCATAAAGGTCACTCTGACTTTGGAACTTAACCTCAAAGGCAATGGCATCCACCCCCTGCCTTTCACTTGAGTTGCTTCTACTGCTTCCTGTATTACCAAATTACTAGGCCAGCAATTTCTATTATTTTGTTTAGAATTGCCACACTATTCTAATTGGTCATTTTGGGGATTGTTGGAATAGTACTTTTAAAATTAGAGTAATTTCAAAACTTAGTTAACTAAGTTATGTTTGTTTAGATGATTTTTGTTTTTTTTTGTTTTTCACTGTGTGCTGGATATTGAAAACTTGTACTAGACTAAGAGGATACACACATTTAGTAAAGTTTATTGTTTTTTGCTCCACCAAGAAAATTCTCTGAAAACCACTACCACTGAAAAAATCTCTAAAGGTGATACATGGTAAGTAAGGTTTTGAGAACTGTACAGTGTGTGAGCTGTCTCCACAACAAGATTTGCTCCTTGAGGGCAGGGACTATGTTACACACATCCCTTCTCTGTTCTACAAAACTTATCAGGCATATACCCAACATGGAGAGTCAGTTAAGCAACAGGTCTTGGTCACAGCACTGTGACTCCCGCTCTGTCATCCCCATTTTTGGGACATTCTGGAGGAGAGGCTGGGGTGAGTCAGGGTGTGTCATTATGGTCCTTTACTCTTTGAAGAGAAAAGATCAGTTGAAAGCTGACCATACATACAAACTTTTATGCTATTGATTTTTATTAATTAATGGATAGGTA